GTTTGAAATTATGAACATTGCTCAACATCATGAGAAAATTAAACCTTATTTTCTAATAAGCAATCCTGAAAAATAATTTGGGGTGCTTAACTTTTTCCTAGGTGTATATATATATATATGTGTGTGTGAGTTGTTCAAAGATCTCTTTACGTTTTCCATTCTGGCTTTAATATTCAACCGTGAATACAGTAACTAATCCGAGTTAAACCAAAGCGATTCTTTAAAACACAGAATTAGCACTTGTAGCTGATTCAAGTAATATGTTACCCTCTCACTTGGAATATCACATAAAGTCGTGTGCGCTTTTATTCACAACTTAAGACCTTTCACATTCAAGTAGTTTTCACGAGAAATGATTTCTCCTTATGTGGTGGACTTAGATAAACTAATAATTAGTATAACCGAAGTATCGTAAGATACTATGCTGCATAGTTATTACAATGTATATCCTAAATTTGACAGGGATCGTCAAAATATATTTTTTTATCTCATCTAGTTTAAATAAGGCGTTGCAAACGACAACACTCACGTATCCCAGTACAAATCAACATATTATATCTTACGCGGAGAGAAAGATAATCAGTTTGAAGAAAATTTGAAAATAACACAAAGGTTAATTAATGTACAAAAAAGGGTAAGACCAATATAAATCATCAAATTATTCAGTATATATTTTCGTATGTGCCTAAAGAGTGTCACGAAATTCGTAGCACCTACCTGAGAAAGATCCTTTAAATATCATAATATAACCGTTATTTATGACGAATATCACATTGGAACTCTCTCTACTCTTATAAATATATATATATATATATATATATATGACACATATTTTTTCTTCATTTATGACGGCAATGACATAAGTTTAAAAAAGTTGAATAATGTGATTAACAGTAAGTAGCAATATACGAAAACATAAATCGTAACCACGTAAATCAGTAAATTTGGATTTTATTTTCTCTTAAATAGTTGAAAAAACTTTCGGGGAACACAAAAAAACACGAAAGTTTCAAACGAATTACTATATCCTGG